TTCCACATGGCTGACTGAGCAGCTGAGTCCCAGACCCGGAGGCTTGAAAACCACACCCAGTGTGTATGCATGCCCAAAATCCTGAAAAAAGAACGGGAGAGGAGAGACTGCAGCAAGACCATCCACCCCGGGGGTGATTTCTGGTTCTCACTCTCTGTCTCCACAAGTGAATGAGGCCTAGGGCAAAACTGAATGAAATAAATAAGTCCTCAACACCACACAGCCATGTCTTCCAAAGCTCTCTCAGTGCTGTGATGACCAGCACTGCCCCACTGAGAGTGTTATTCCATCTCAAACGTCTAGTCTCTTCTCATTCAGGTTCTAGGCTCCTCAAGGAAGCAACTTCTCCAGCTTCTTCCTCTTCCCCATGAAAAGGAACAAGCCATACCAGTTGATATTTTCTTCCTTTCTTTTTTTCCCCCCACAGAGATTTTTGGTGTAGGGCACATGCGCTCACCAGAGAGACAGAAAGTGAGAAATCATCCCCCAAGGGGGATGGCCATGCCATTCTCCTCCATTCTCCTCTCGGGACTCTGGGCACACACACACATGCGCCAGGAGTGAGTTTTAAACTGCTGCGTCCAGGACTGGAACCGTGGTTGACTACATGCGAGCCTGGCAATGCAACCGCCATGCCATCTGCCGGTCCCCGGGTTGGTATTTTCAAGCTCCAACAGCGTGAGCACTGCCTTGGCCAGTGCACCCGGAGATTCAGGGTTAAGCGGATGGACCGGCGCTCACACACGTCGGTGTGGATGCTGACATCTGCCACTTGCCCGCCTCCGCGTGCCGCTCTGGTGACATGCTTTCTTGTCTGTCCACAGACTAAGTGCTCCTCCTCTGCCTTCTCAGTTTCTCCCGGCGTCCACTCATCTTCCAGGTCATTCAAGCACAGACCCACAGCCAGCCTCTGCTGTCCCCACATTAAATACCCACCCCGTCCTGTGTCCTTTTTCCACTTCTTTTTTTTTTTTGGAGAGGTTTTGCTATAAGGGCACATGTGCTCGCCAGAAAGAAAGAGACAGAGAGACAGAAAGCGAGAAATCACCCCCCGGGGGGGATGGTCACACCGCAATCTCTTCTCTTCCATTCTTCTTTCAGGATCTTGGGCATGCACGCACACACACCCAGCATGAGCTTAAGCCACTGAGACTGGGACTCAAACTGTAGTCGACTACATGGGAGTCCAGCGACATAGCCATTAGCCAACTGCTGGTCCCATTTTTAAATAAAGTTCTACTGTAGGGCGAGTGAGCTCGCCAGAGAGAAAGAGAGAGAAAGGAAAAACGAGAATTGCCCCCTAGCAAGGATGGCCATGCTACAATCCCGTATCCAGCATTCTCCTCTCCGGATTTTGGGTACATACACATACCCTGTGTGTTTTTCAAGCTGTTGGGTCCAGGACTAGAACCACAGAGCCAGCCATATGGGATCAGCACCTTAACCACCATACCACCTGCTGGCCCCCATCCTGCGTCTTCTTCCCCCTTAACTCTGTCTCAAATCCACAGCCCTGGGTGGCGCTCACAACCTTTCTGACCTAAGGGAAAGCGGCAACCAGACCTGGTATTCCGGCCTTAGGCCTCACCCACCTCCAGTTCTTCCTCCCGTGTGGGACTCTGACACCCCCCCCCCCCCCCCGGGCCAACCCCCCCCCCCCCCCCCCGGGACTAACCCTGCTCGCCACCCGTCCCTGGACACCAAGCCCTCTGCTCAGCAGACGCCGGAGTATTTCAGCCGTCACTCCCTTCATCCATCTTGCCCCTAAAGGATCAGACCCCACATGGCTCCCAGAACAACCCAAGCCACCCCCACCTCCGCCTTTGCTCACGCAGTTCCTACACCCTATAAGCCCTGCCTGCCTGTGGGTGCATGGCTAACTTCTTCCCACACCCCTGCCTCCACTCCTCCAGGAAGGTAGGATCTCCTGTGCCCAGCCAAGCCTGGCTTCCGGGCCCCGTTCCTGTGCTTCACCCCAGTGAGTGCGGAACGGTCCCATACTCCCCAGTAGGCTGAAAAGAACTGTGCGGGTACACCACAGCCACCCGGAGCCTAGCACGGGGCCTGCGACACGACAGGGCAGCAGGGAGCGCTGGTCTGAGGAAAGCAAGACTCACTTCCTTTCCACGAGCTGGTTTCCTTTGGTCTTCCCCTGACCTGCAGCCTCGGGCGGCCTCGCCACTTCTCTGCTGCCACCTAGGGTCGAGTGGCAGCTCAGCGCCTCTCACCATTCAGCAGTTAATTCGATTCACTCCCCTGAATGGGATGGGAACACAACCGAGGGAACAGTTGATTCCGGTGGGGGTGGAGGAAGGTGGCAGTCGGAGGAGGTTCCAAATGGAGAGCGAGCTGTGAGCTGAGCCGCCACGCAGCACAGGGAACAGATCTCCAGGTGGAAAAGAACCGGTTCCAGGCAGAGAGCCCAACGGCCAGAGTCTGCAGTTGACACGCAGAGGAAGTCCGGAAGCTCAGGGCTTCTGACTGTACCTTCTAAGCCACCAAAGAGGTCACCAAGTTAATTTTTTCCACCCAGAGACGCTGAATTGAGAGTGACAGAATGAGATCCGCGCTTCCATAGGATAACTTTTGGTGGAGCGCAAAGAGGACAGAGACAGAAAGCAGGGGGTGATAGAGCCACCAGGCCAGCATCGGGACAAAGGACTTTCATAACTCTCATTTTCTATCTGCTGTTGTTCCGGCCGTCACTGCCGCATGACCTCAGACTCAACACATCCCAGCTGAAATTCTGCTCCCTCAAACCGGTGCGTTTACATTAATGTCATTATTATATTCATATTATTTGAGGGTTTTGCCGTAGAGCTGTGTGCTTGCCAAAGACAGAGAGACAGACAGACAGACAGACAGAGAGAGAGAGAGAGGGAAAGTGAGAAATCACCCCCCAGAGGGCATGGCCAGGCCGCAATCCCTTCTCCTCCATTCTCCTCCTGGGATTTGATTTTCAAACTGCCAAGTCTGGGACTTGAACTGCAGTCAGCTATGTTGGAGTCCAATGCCTCCACGCCGTTTGCTGGCTCCTCCATTAGCATTATTTCTGTCTATACTACGAGATGGTCATATATCCTGCCCCTTTGTGAACTTTGAAATCATGGAACTTTATCACAGATCTCAGCACGGTTTTGCACACAGATGTTCACTGACAACTCAATGGAATTCTCTGAAATACTCCCTCTTGCCTCTTAGGGTGTCCCGAATCCTTATGATAAGACCAGTAATGCCCAACGATTAATAAGAATAAAGGGTTTAAGTCGGAGAGCCTAAGTTTAAATCCTGGTAGGGCCACTTTGGTGCTGGAGACTGGTCTTACCAAGTGAATTCTCATCTAAGCCAGTCTCTGCATCTCCAGAATGTCCATTTTAACAGCATCTACCCAAGGGCTGGAGACAAACGTCCGTCAAGTGTCAAACCTGGTACATTCTCAGCAATGGCAGTTACAGTGAATGCCAGTTATTCACTGCCTACCGACCACAGACCATGCAGGATACAAGGGGCTTCGCACACCATTAAATCTCACAATACTTTGGTCCTTCCCATTCTACAAATAAGAAAACGAGGGCTCACACAGTGGAGTTTGTTCAAGGAGTGGGGAGAACTTTCAGTGGAAGATCATTTAATTGAGCGATGTCTCTCTGGCACCCATGAGACAGAAACAGAGAGAGTTGGAAAAAGTACCTCTCAAGGGACATCTAGCAACATCCAGAGAAATTTTTTGACCCTCACAACTTGGGGAGTGTGTGCCTATGTGCAGATACCTCCTGCATTTCCTACAAAGAGCCCAGGGCAGCCCCCACCAACCTAGAATTATCTGACCCCAGATGGGAGCAGTTGAGAGATTGAGAAACGTTTTTCTAGCCAGATCCTCCTATCGCCCCAACTTCTGCAGCAGGAAGGCACTTTCTGTAAAGGGAGCTCCTCTGTCCCTCCAAGGGGAGCCCCCTTGGAAGTTCACCTGCTCTCCACGCAGTAGAGATCAGACCATTTTAACAAGCCTGGCTGCCGAGCACACCGGAAAAGGAAGGCAGCACATCCATCCCCCATTGTTCGATTGCGTGCCGTTTGTGTTTCCAACACACACACATATTTTACAAATCCGAATGTCCCACGCCTCACAGGCAGCTTTGTTAGAGATGGCGCTCCAAAAAAAGAAAAAAAAAATCTTACATATATGTGTGTGTGTGTGTATGTACGTATGATTTGTTTTTTTCCCTAGGACTCCCATACATACCGCGGGCTTTGCACACTCGCAGAGGACCGACCGCGGTTCTCTGACAACGACCACAAAAGAATCTGTAGGATTTCCCGAGGGAGCGGGCCCGTGGGCCGTGACCTCTGCGCGCGGAAGGCGCTCACCCTTCTCCCCCGCCCCTGGCTGCACACTCCCGCCCCCGGATCGCGGGCTTCCAAGGCTACCCGGGCCCCGGCCGCGAAGCCC